AGTATTAATTATGTTGAACTTTAAAGTTATGGAACGACCGTTATTTATACGTGTGTGACATGTTGTCACATTTATTTACTTGCAAATCTTAAACGAGACGTTTTCGTCACAAGACATTATTTACTTTGCAAGCTATTATTTTAATTATTTTGGTAAAATATTTATTAGTCAAGAAAATGTGAAGTTTTATAAAATGTACGAGCAACAATTAATGTTTTAACGACGTCACATTATTAATAATATTTTAAGAAAATATTTGAGTGAAACATGAGATATGATGTTATCGGGGGTTGATCAATAAAAGGAAAAGTCGTGTTAAGATTGTTAAGGAATAGTAGTCAATTTAATTACGATTATTTAAGATGCTTAGGAATGATATAAATTATCATGTAGGTTGTCGTTTTTGAGAGAACGACCTATTGAACGTTAACGATTCAAGGTGAGTACATTATGCGATTTTTATGGGATATATACATGATTATTACAAAAGTATTTTATCCATGATATATGCATGATATGTTTATATGCATATGATGATAACTTGATTATATTGATGTGCATGATATTTAAATATATGGATGATATGAAAGGTGATGTTGATGAGAAAGATTATGATGACTTGTTATTATCAATATGATATTCAAGTATGTGTATAATGTGAAAAATGACGATGATACATATGTGATTTATGTTGTCACTTGCATGAGATGTATGTTGCATATCACGATGAGGTTTGCATTAATGAGCGAGTATTGCAAATAAATGATATGCAACTAGTATGATTCGTCAAGATTCGTCCACCGTACGGGGTGGGTTGGACATGAAAGGAGGGCTTGCAATTYYGAGGTCTTGGAGTCCTCGTCCATAGAATACGCCACATACGCAAAGAAAAGTGACGAGYCGAGGCCTCACTTGCAAGATAATAATTAAAATACGCTAAAACGCTGTTTTGTGTGTGCATGTGATAATGAAACCATATTGTATTCACTAAGCTTTTTGCTTATACTATACATGTATATATCTCAGGTGTCATTTGTCAGTAGACGAGTGAATGAAGAAAGAYGGGACTATGTTTTTGAATCATGTTTGATTAGATATTTTAATTAGCATTGATTATGTTAAAGTATTTTACGTTTCCGCAATTATGTAACGAATTATGTTAAACATATTATGTGTGTTTGGAATTTTAAGTTCGTATTTTTGTTCATGACATAAGTTATTAAGAATGACGTCACGGCACTCAATAGAAAAGAAAGAAAAAATCGCCATCTTCATGTCCTCTACAACCACCATCGTCCATCAATCACCAATGCCTCTACATCCACAACTATTGTTGTTGCAATAATCTTCACTATACTTTCGCCAATTAATAAAGATCTTCCAAACAAAATAAAACATATTTCTCCTTTGTACGAATCGGGTTTTTCCAAACTACCATCAATTTTTTCATTCAAATTTATGTCTATGAAAATTGTGTAAAAATGTTTTATAAATTACATTATTTAATTATTTACTTTATTTGTGTTGATAATAACTATTATATAATATACATAATCATCAAATAACTTTTGGGAGGAAACTTGTCTAGCTCTGTTCTGTCTTAATACTAGTCGTACCAAATAATAGACAGATACTTGTTTTGTTCAGTTCTGTCATGTCCAGTCCAATAATGACTGTGTACCAACCTCACGTTAGTGATTGACAGACCCCTCGTGGCAAAGAAAGAAACAGTTTTCACAATTACAGTTCACAACTCCGTTGACTAAACTAATCTAATGGAAAATCTTAACAATTCTATTAGATTTAAATGACTTTCTATAAATTCTCTCACATACAACAACATCAAACGTCATTTTTTATATTTTCAAAAATATTAATTTGACCCAAATTAGAGTTCAAATAGCAACTCTCATCATAGAAAAGGTGTGCTAAATGAACCACCTAATAATAGTCCAATCAAGTCTTGAAAATGTAAAAATTCAAAGTTTAAACTGATATAAATGCTTACCGGATAAATTTCCTCATCGGATGAACATGAGAAGGGCCAAGAATCATACCGGGTAAAGGCGATGAGAATGAGGGAGAGTCTTATCCGGTAAGTGAGGATGACGACTCTTACCCAGGTAAGCGCTTACCAAGTAAATTGTTGCATTCGATATGTTTTGATGTACTAAAATCTTACGCATGAAAATAAATCATAGTGTTGACTCCTATTGGTAAGCCCTTACCGGGTAAGTAATTGGGTAAACGGCCCCTAAGACTCTCACTTCAACCAAATGGTTTTTTTAAGTTATAAACTTTATGATTGCTTGCTTAATAAAGTGTTTGATATTATGAAACGTATGTGAAATACAATAAAGTGGCGTTTGTTTTTTAATAGGTGCTGAAGTCTGAAGTCTTATTTCATTTTTGATTAATAAGAGGTGGTGCTGAAGTCTGAAATCTGAATCAATTAGATTGTTTGTTTTTATAAACTGATTACTCTTTGAATTTGTTTAAGTTGTCTATTTTACCGATTATAAAATTATAATGTTGAATTTACAGATAAATTTATACAATATTTACAAATAAATTTATACAATTTAACATATTTATTCATTATCATTACGTAATTCATAGTTAAATTATATAATCAACATTCATTTAAAAGAAAATATGTTATTAACTGTATTTAACACATTTAAATCCTATTAAAATACACCAATTGAGAGATATGAGGATTGATTTGGTAACGATCAATCGAGAGAAATGATCAATTGAGGTTAATCGATTGAGAAACGTCGTTGCTAAAGGTTTCGAGAACAATAAGAGGCAAATAAGAGGTTGATTTACCTCTTACCAGATAAGTAAGACAATAAAATACAAGTGCCTTTGAAAAATTGAAAAAAAAAACAAGCAGTCTGGATCACCCTACCTCTTAACGAATCAGACATAAGAGGCTAATAAAAGGTTTTTTTTTCAAAAAAACAAACAAGGCGTAAGTGTTACAAAGGTAAGAATATTCAAGCAATATACAAAGAAAGTTGAAACTAATCCTAGGATTATTGTATAGAAAAGAAAAGAGGAAATTCGAGACTTGTGCAGATGTTTTTTGGATATATAAAAATCCGAGTTGTCTCAGATAAAATGGGGTACAAATTAACTCGAGAATGATTCATGGGTGTTTCGTGTATCATTGCCGATACTTTGCCTTTTCATAATCAAATTGGGTGACCCATAAAATCATTGATTATTTTCATGTTCAAAAAGGCTTAACAAAACAATGAATCTCAGAATTCGACCTAAAAAATATGTCAAAAATACGACACGTGAAGAAACCTTCGGTCGAAAAAATCCACAGGATCACTTGCATATGAAGACGACATAAATGGAAGAATTGATCAAAATCACAAAGAAGAAATTGAATATACCAAATTTTCATTGTGGTGTGATGGAAAATGGGGAATCAAAGTTATCCTTTGGACTAAAGCACACACTTGTGCTATACCAAAACAATTCTTTTATTAAGCGTTGTCTAATTGGTTTGAGCTTGACTATAAAAATTAAAAGTGTCTGGAGGTCTCAGGTTCAAATCGAATGAGGAATGAAAATCCCCTTGTGGTCATGAAGATTTAAATGCAGTGACTTCGGGCTATCTGCAAAGTAGGTGGCCATCCTGGGATTAGTATGCTCGCATAACCTGTTGGATATCAAGAGTAATCAAAAAAGAAAAAAAAAAGTATATTGCATATTTTGTTCCTGGATTATTTTTTATATATGTATTTGTCTACAATAAAAAAAGATTATAAAATTTATTTTTGAATATATGAAGGAAAAAAAATACAAATTTCATCCTAACATTAATATCTATACTATATTATAAATCATTTGACAAAAACTCTTAAAAACCATTTTTATTCATTAAATATTGTTTATTGATGTATATTACTTAAAGCTCCATGTTTGAATTCGTGTAACTAACTACAGATAAACGTAATCAAATAGAGAATAAACATCTTATTTTAAATATAAAGCATCTAAAATATAATTAGGATAATCATTGAGTTCTAACAAAATACTCGATTATTATCTTTATAAAGATTTATATTATTAAACCAAAAATAAAAAAATGAATTAAAGATTTTACACAAAAAAAGAGATATTTTAAATTGTCAGTTTGGTACTAATATCAATATATTTTTTTCAAAATTTTATGATATTTTCATATTTATATTTTATTCAAAAATAAAAACGTTATCGTTTTCTCAAAATCACATAAAACCATATTATAACATCGAATGAGACAAAAAAATGGAACATTAAAATCGAGATGTATCTCCCTATATTGCACGATGACCCTTCTAATAGATATGTAAAGGGTTTATTTCTTATGAGAACACTTGTTCTTAAAAACTACTGGTATTAGTGTCAACTGAGAACTTTAAAAATTAAATCAAATATCAACCCGTTTGTGCAGATGCTGGAAAGCCGATTATAAGAGGTCAGATTCCAGCATTGAATCATAGTGACGACAGCGGACCGTGATAATGGTGGCAACTTGTCGTCGTGGTCGCAGTAAAATAAAGAAGATGAAGATTAATAATAAACAATAATAATAAAATACAGATAATATTTATTTAATTAAAAATCAGTATCAAGATCAAGTGTTTTCAGCTAAGAATGATTTCTGGTTAAATATTATTTGTTGAAACTGATTTTGGAAGCAACCACAAAACTTAAGGGTGTTTTCTGTAATTAACCCAAAGTGTGTGTACTTCTGTAAAACTATAAAAGCATTCCCATACCCCACGCAGAGAATTTCCTATACAACGTTGCATAGCTGTTTATGGAGCACACGCATCGTAGCGACGCCATTTTTATCAGCTCCCTTCCGCTCAATTAGCTATTCTCCCAAATCTTCTTAAAAAACCTCAAAAATCTGAGCAGAGTTTGTGTGTGTTGCAGTTGTTTTGAGCTTTAACTTGTTCGATTTGTTAATTTCGTCTTTCAAATTGCAAAAAATGGCGGATAATTCTTCAGCAAGGATTGTGTTCTTACATGGTGATTTGTTTCTCAAAATTATCGAAGCTCGGAATCTACCAAACATGGATGTAGTCACGGGCCACATCCTCCGTTGCGTGCCGTTCGATTCCTGCCCGGAAGACAAGTCTCCGCCTGGAACCGATGACCTGAAACTGCGTTCCAGCGGGAGGAAGATCATTGCAAGCGATCCTTACGTCAAAGTATCGGTGCCTCAAGCAGCCGTCGCACGTACGCGTGTGTTGAAGAACTCCAAAAATCCAAGATGGGACGAACGGTTCAAAATTCCGTTAGCTCACGAACTTGTTTACTTGGAGTTTGAAGTGAAAGACGATGACATTTTCGGAGCTGATTTAATAGGGACCGTCAGCATTCGGGCACATGAGATCGCCACCGGAAACGTGATCTCTGACTGGTTCCCTCTGAAGAATTCACGAAAGGACTCACAGCTGAGGCTGGAAATGAAGTTTGTATCCTGTGATAAAAATCCGCTTTATCGGCACGGCATTGCTGGAGATCCCGATCTAAAAGGCGTCCGGGACACATATTTTCCGGTGAGGAAAGGTTCTCAGGTGACGTTATATCAGGATGCTCACATCAGGCCTGAATCTAAGATGCCTAAGATTGAATTGGAAGGGGGTAAGGCTTTTGAGCACAATTCGTGTTGGGAAGATATATGTCATGCTATATCATCAGCTCATCATATGATCTACATTGTGGGTTGGTCTGTTTTTCACAAGATTAAACTGATTAGAGAGCCAAATCGACCATTGCCAAGAGGAGGAGAATTGACACTTGGTGAATTGCTCAAATATAAGTCTGAAGAAGGGGTTAGGGTTTTGTTGTTGGTTTGGGATGATAAAACCTCCCACAGTAAGCTCTTCGTCAACACGGTGAGAAATCAACCTATAATTTAGCATTATGAATGTAAACGTGGTTTGATTTCCTACAGAGCCAATAAACACATTTGATTTAAACTAATAGTGTCAGTGGTTAATTGGTGCAGAATGGGGTAATGCAAACTCATGATGAAGAGACCAGGAAGTTTTTCAAGCATTCATCTGTGCAATGTGTGCTTTCACCTCGTTATGGAAGCAGTAAGCTTGGCCTTTTCAAACAACAGGTAACCTGTGATTCAGTATCCTCGGCTGGCTTTAGTTATGCATCTATTTTCATCTCTTTACATATTTTTATGTTGATATATGGAAGAGAAATGGTTCAAGTCCCCCGATATGGGATTGTAACATGATCCCTCCAACAGAGAGGCTAGACCGACACAGATTGTCCCATAGTAGTAGACCTCGGCTCCAATACCAATGAGAAAATGTGAAAACTCATTAGATTACCCTCCAAAAAAGTGCTTTTTGAATAGAAGGGTTCCAACATATATGAAAAATAAATGGTCCAAATGGAGTATTTAAGTGGTTCGACAATTTACCTTCATCCATGATCATCTGTCAAATTATTATTGCATAATTGATGAATTTGGTAGTGCATACATGATACATTACAAAAAGGTACAAAGCCAGAGTCTTGTTCATAGTCCAAATCAAGCATCATGTGTCATGGTTGATGATTTGGGGTTGCTATTCATGTGAATCAGCGAATCCCATTGATTTGGGGTTGTGCATCTTTATCTTTTAGACATGCTCTTTATCTTATTCCATGTTTCAGGTTGTTGGAGGTGCTTTTACACACCATCAGAAATGTGTGCTCGTGGACACTCAGGCTTATGGTAATAATAGAAAGATTAGCGCGTTTATAGGCGGTCTTGATCTCTGTGATGGTCGATATGACACACCCGAGCATCGGTTATTTCACGATCTTGATACCATATTTAAGGACGACGTTCACCAACCTACAATCCCTGTGAGTTGCTATTTCATCCCATCTTCCGTTTTTGCCACCACTGGTTCTCCTCTTCTCGTCACGTCCATATTTTTTTCTCAATTCTATTTATAACTATGAGATTGAAAAAATTCATTAGACTTTCTATTATTAAGAATAAAATTGGGATTTAGTTAATAAAAAAATGTAATAATTATATAATTTTAAAATACATGTACATTGACGGAGTATTTAGAGCATCTGCAATGAAGAAGCCTCCAAGAACCTTATTTTTCATGTAACATCGTTACCATCTCAACAAAATAAGAACATTGATTAAAACTCAAATTAAGATTTTCATAAGAACACTCACTTTCAAATTTTTTTATAAATTTTTTAAAAATATATATTATAAAATTATTAAAACAAAACTCAAACATAATTTATTATTTTTCACTTTTTTATATTAATTTTAAATTATTAATTTATA